AAAAACTATAGAGGCTTGTGGAAGATAAAGGTTTTTCAACCGTTCCTATCGCAATTTTGTAAATGTGCAGACAAGAGGAAGTGGACGAGGTCGAAAAGAATGGGTTGATATTACGGCCCGTCACTACACACTGTTCGACCTCAAAACAACCCTCGTCAGACCGCCGGGCCAACAGCTGTGGCAACCTTCGTCCTACTCCGACTGACCCCGCAAATAGGTCTCGTGCTGATCAGCTGATTCCGTCCCAATGTGCGTGGTGGTGGTGGAAGATGGCAAAGATCATTTCGTTTCGACTCGCTGATTTCCTCAAGCCACAGAGATGTTCAGTTGGTTTTGGTATAGTTCCTGCAACTCTGTGAACTCACTGAGTTTTGGTTGCCAGCCTGTTCTATATGAACTCTGGCAACTGCTTAGTGTTTATTGTTATCCACCTTCCCATGGTCTATGGTCTCACTTACAACAAACACTCGAGTATGTTTGCACTTACTAATGAATACCTTAGGCATGGTTTGTCAAGTATGTATGAACATCGAAATATTGGTATTCCTATCAGTTAGAGGCATCAGTGAACAATTTTGAAGTACACAATGCAGTTTTCGCCATGACTAAACGAGGGTATACGCCACATAAGTCAACCCGGTTCGATTTACAGAAGCGATTCCCAGGATCTAGAGATGTAACAAGCTGCGTTAACCTGCCTAGTGCTCAGGGGCGACTGCGATGACTAATGTTAAGGTGTTCTTCGGTTTTTCGACTGTCAATTGTTTGTTAGTTGCTCATCGTCCCTACAACAACCTTGCCACTATTCCACTATTCTCTGAACAAGTTTCACTTTTCGATATTGAATGGGAAGGAGGGGTACTTCTTGGGAAAACTGGCGAATTCTAGAATTCTCTCTAAACCAGTTACAGAATGTTACTAACTTCTGTAGAAAGATTCACGAAGCAAAAGTTATTAGCTAAAAATTATCTAGTGAGGTACGTAAACTCAATTTACCTCCGCTCAGTCTAGTGAAATGTTATTCGTAGGATGGTTTGCGGGGTCGTTCACCCTTTTCGTAGGTTCCATTTTGGGAATGTTATTCTTCAGAATTTTTCAGAATTTCGTATTTCACTGGAAAATTCATTATAATAATAGAAAATAGAAGTGACTAGGATTTTTTCCCATGGTGAAAGACAATTATGAAGTTCAAGGAGTATAAACTCAGCTTTAAAGTCGCATAGAAACTTGTCATTCGTAGAAAGGGAACATGGCGAAGGTGGTTTAGGGGTTCTGTCAACGTAATTATTAAGCTTTGATTGAAGGGTTGCTAAAGACACAAAGCTATGGGATGAGAAAGGCGATTAAATTGGATAGCAGAAAAAATCAGAGGCACTGGTAAACAAGCAGAAAGATGAAAGAACAAGAGAAGATTCTTGACACGAATCCATCAGAACACTCCTATAATGACGTGATCGGGAATAAGTACGAGTGACTAGACATCCAGGGGTGAATGCCTGTGCTAGAAATGGTCGACTCGCCCACGTCATCACGTAGAAGTCTGATAGCAACGAAAATAGGCCTGCTCACATAATTGCCATCATGGGCTCCGAACCACCCATGTGAATGAGAAGAGAAGACCTCGCCATGGTAACAACGAGGCTAGATAAAGGCTTCAAAGGAAAACAACTTCCCATCCTAGACGAGTAGTAGACGTAATTGATAGCGCACAGGACGCAGAGATCGTTGAGTCCCACAGCTGCCTCAATCAATGGACGAATAAACAGAAAGTCTGGCCTTTGTCGAACACACAGAGATTGTTACTCACTAACAACGTAGTATGACTTGGTGAAATATGCTGACATTAAATGTTAGGGCTCGAGAACGTCTGAAGAACTTGGAGTACTCGGAATCATGTATCCATTAGACTACAACATGCAGCGGGTTTCGACACAAGACCGAAATCAAACTTGTTCCCATACCAAGCTTCTTCTCCTTCATGATGTGAAAGACCTTACAGCCCGGTCCCTTGGAAGTAAAATATACTTTTCGAATTATCTTATGTTATGGGGATCGTAGAAGTTTCTCTTGCTGCCGAGCCCGGCCGACCCTGCCTACCATTAATTTACTGGATATTACCTTGAAAAATAAAAAAAGAGTTTAACTTTATCAAAAATATTAGTTTGGATATGTAGGATTGTTTTCGATTTATCACTCACCCGGCTTCCTCCGGAATCGTAGAGAGACGGGCTTTCATCGGAACGGTGGTCGTAATGAATGAAGTTTATGAACCCAGCCCAGCTGGACAGCTGTTACCGCGTTTTTATTCCGAATTTGAAATAGCGAGGGATGGGAAATGCTTACATCGGTTCTCACAGACACAACATCATATCCCATTAAAAGTCTTCGTTTGAAGGAGGTGCTGCCTTCACGACGGCTTCCTTCAAGCGGCTTCAGTACTTTATGACATGTTATATAAACCGTTAATCTCTAAAATCTGCATGTGGTGACCAATCCATAATTACAAGATCCAACTGGGTTTCCGAAAGTGACTGAAACTGGAGTACGTGTTCCACCAGATCTTCGGGAATAAGTCGCAGAGGACAGCCATTCTCCACTGCACTTGAAGAAGGTCAATCAACCCGGTTCATGGACCACCACATCGTTGCGATCAGCTGTTACGTACAAGAATGATATCAAGCGTCAGTTTGTTGATGCAGAAGGTCCCTAACAAAGTGAAGCTTCACTTAAACTGGAAAGAAGATGACATCAGAGTTCAAATCAAGGTCGGATCAAGCAAGAAGTTACTACTGTCAACCACATCCACAGGAACGAGAATTCAGTACGGGCATTCGAATCTTACAGTAATCCCTAGCTTCTCCACCACCCTCCTGATCCCCTGGTCCTTCCAATTCTGGCGTTCGTGGTTCTTGTAATGAAAAAAAGAGGTGTCAGGCTGAGCAGTGTTTCCTTCTGAACCCAAGACCAGACGTCCGGAGATTGAGACCTGACGGGATGGTAGGCCGTACGAGCTATATTTAAACAACACTGACTTCCCCGAACAATGGTGTAGTAGAGAAAGTATAGTTCACATGTAGCTCCTATCGATTATCATCATTTATCATCTTCCCGAACCAGCCGTCGAGTTTCTCATGCAATCTGGGCAATCATCTTGAAGGGTAGCTTGTTTTCCATTCTGATTTATTTCTTAAAAAACTGCGAAAACAATCACCTGTATCACCTGTACTCCCGTTGATCGTCGATTTCCTCGAGCGGGCGCCAGTAACGTCTCCATTCGTCCCTGTCGCGAGCCAGAGTAGTCCAGTGAATCGCACTCGCTCGAGGGACACGGGGCAATACATTCCTTTCGTTCAGAGCTTTCGTGAAGAAGTCTGACCATCTCGTTGGCGGCCGTCCTGGTGTTCGCTTGACGTCCCGAGGGATCCAGTCCGTAACCGCCCTGGTCCAACGGTCATCATTATATCGCATAACGTGTCCGGCCCACCTGATCTTCGATCTCTTGGCGTAATCAACGGCATCCCTGATCTTCGTTCGTCGACGGAGCTCGGAACTCCGGATTCCCTTCTGCACTTGCGTGTATAGGGAAATTTCGAGCATCGTCCTTTCCACAGCGCGTTGAATGACGCTAACTGCATGCTCATCCTGCTTTCGTAGAGTCCAAGTCTCTGAGGCGTATGTCAAAGCAGGAAGTACCGCAGTGTCGAAAAGGTGAGCGCGGAGCCGGATGTTCTTCGTTTTCTTCACTACTCCCTCGATGTTCTTAAATGCTCNGGACCGGGTGCTGTACCATTCCTCATCGACTTGATGGCATGTCGAATTTCGGAAGGGAGAACTGAAGGGACGACATATCCGTCTTGCCTAAGATGGCAGGTAGGCATGTAGACGTGGCTGTCGAAGAGATCAGAGTAGAAGTCGTAGATGACCTTCTCCATTGCCCTTCGGGATGCAGTAACTGTTCCGTCAGGACGACGAAGGGAAGTCATCTTAGTCTTGTAATTGGCGAAATTCCGTCGGGCTTTGCGAATGCTCTTTCCGGCCTCGGCGGCTTCGTCCATAACTGCTGCTCTTCTCTCTTTCAGATCTTCCTTTATCGCTTCTCTGCATAGCTTCGCAAGTTCGGACGTTTGTTGGTGATTGCCTGTAGCTCGCGCGATTCCACGCTGGCGTATCAGCTCGAGAGTCTTCGAAGAGAGACGTTTCTTGACATCTTTGAGACTCTCAGCTCTCCTGGCGCAATCGTGAAGATGTTCGACAAGCCGGTCGTATTCTTCATCGATGTTGTCGTTTACGGAATCTTCCCATAAACTCGCCAATGAAGCGAAGTGATCCCAATTGACCACAGTCTTGGGGCTTCGTTTCCTGAACTTCGCAGCTCTCTCTCCACGCACTGAAAAGCGGAATCTAGCGCGGAGGAGACGATGGTCTGATCCCGTGTAGAACTTCGGAACAACAGCGACGTCAGTCAGGCAAAACTTCCGATTGACGATGATGTGGTCTATTTCATTATGGAACTGTCCACCAGGTGACTCCCATGTCCATCTTAAATGAGAGGGCTTCTGGAACTGCGAGTTACCATGGATGGTGTGGGTCGTCATGATAAACTCGGACAGTCTTTCACCCTGCTCATTCCATTCCAATCCATGAGTCCCGATATGAAGCTCTTCAGCCGTTCTTCTGGGGCCAATCTTGGCGTTAAAATCACCGACGATGACCTTGAAGAAAGTGTGGTCTTCTCTGTAGAGCCTCTCCAGATCCATATAGAACGCTTCCAACTCCTCTTCTTCGTAGCTCGATGTTGGTGCGTAAGCAACGAAGATGGTTAGAGCTGGGATTGAGCCACATCTTCTTAAACGCAAACGTCCGATTCGGGTTGTTAAGCTTTCGTACGAATCGATGTTCATGGCCAAGTGCGTGTTGACGAGGACACCTACACCGCCGACGCCTCTGCTGTCGCATGTTCCAAGGAACAGTTCTTCTCCAGTTTCAAATACAGCGTGCAGCGGGCGGTGCCTTCTCGTCTCGGTCAGTCCGATGACGTCGTACTTGATTTTCCTAGCTTGCATCATCAGGTCTTCTATACACGCTTCCGATGCAAGCGTCCTTGCGTTGAAAGTACAGATCGCCATCTTAGTCCTTCTCCTTTTGGGCAGCCTGTTTTGGCCCTGAGATTTTAGCAGCCTCTCCCGAGCGGTCCTACCCAACGCCGCCGTATTGGGGGCTCCCTCAGGTTCAGGGAAATGAGGCCCATTTCTGTTACTGTTTTTGGCATGGAATTCACGTGTAACTTGCCAGGCTCTAGCACGTGGGGGGCCTACTCTTAGCCGTGTGGACATGCGGACGTGCCGATGATTTATATACATATATATTTTTTATAAATATAATTGAATGGACAATGAAAGCTCCAAGCAAAGTTACCATCGAACAGAAGAAAAATGCTGGCGAGAGCTTTCGGACCATACAAGCCGACATCTGATGTTAAAGACGAAAACAATACAAACTCCCTTTTTCTTCGGAGCATGAGAGGCAATACAAACGAGGTAGCAATCTTCAACTGCTCCCGATGGGGATTCCTCTGAGTCTCATTATGGGTATACCAATTTGCTCTGATAGGACCTCTCTGACGACCTTCGTATCCAACTTTTCATGACATCCCCATTGTAGGCGAACTGGTTGGTCTTGGTAGGGCAAGTCATGATCACTTCAAGACCACTTCCCTACCATGTTTTATTCATCACGAAAGGGAAGGACGAGTGTGTTTTCATGAATAGTAGACATTTCGAAAGAGTAAGACGGCATTCTTTGTATAGTGGATTGCATGAGGCACCGTCTGTTCAGAACATTTAGAAGTATCAGATTGCAGAGGTGTTAAAGATGACACTAAACGATCCGTCACTGCTTTCATTTTGACAAAATGATTTCTTCTCAGAAAAGATGGCGAATATGCTAATAATTAAGAAGAATGAAGCAATCTGTATGTTTACAAATTTTAAAGAATTGTTGGTGATCGGTTTCCACTCTGTTTACAGAATCCCATTTGTTCCCTAAGACCCCGAAGATCATCTGTGAAAGAGCTGAAGAGACGAGAGATCAATAACAGCGTCAAATATATTAATAACGAATAAATCAAAAATCAAGTCAATGAGAAATAAGTCCCCAGTCCCCAAACCCATTGAAAATCAATATCAAGGGCGATACGTGGCCGATCAGCAGGGACAAGACCGCCGGGCGACCTTAATTAATAATTTTCACCCTTGGGAGTCTCAGGGAGCTCCGTGACCCGGCCTTTAGCTGTCACAGCACATATAAAAACCGTTATTCAAGTATTGGTACCTTCCTCAGGGGCTCATTGATCAGTCAAAAATTAAAACAGAAGATTACTTTGATCATGCCCAGATTAATCGAGCGTCGGTCATGAACTGTTCTGAGTTCAGTACCAGTTGAGTATTACCGGCTCGTAAAGGAACTTTTGTCTCTCGAAGGTTGCCGTAACGATACAATGCATTCACTTTCTACGAAGTTCCTCGAGGAATCACGTAAATTTAGACTCCATCGCAAACAAGCTGCTGTATGGAGCCCGCGGCTACTCGGAGTGCTCTTAAGAAGTGGAAACGCTGGAGTGACGCATCCTTAACCCATTGCGTACCGCAGTGTTTTGCGCTAGCTGCCGCATGTGCCCCGGCGTTTCCTTCAAAATTGACACAGGCGACGTGGTTCACGGCGTGCTGCACGCAGCCACCCAGAGCGGTTGTTTGAGCGAATCGCAAAGTATGGGCTGTTCGAACTTTAATAAACCTTTAGAGTGATTTTGGATGAAAATGAGGGCGCGCAAAGGCAGAAGGGCGTGCTTCACCATGTGCAGCACGCGGTACGCAATAGCACCTAAGAAGCGTGGCCATCTGTATTCCGCGTTGCGGAATGTGTTACGAAAGAAGTATGATGTGAACGAGTATTGCCAAATAGTTTTTTGAAGAGGATAGTGGGTGTTTCGTAACATATTCGTGATTCTATTCGTTCGATTACCGAGAGTACACGGTAAATTCTTTGGGTTTCCGGATCAGGAGCGCCAGGAGCCTTACAGTAAGGAGCCGGCATTGGATCACACTGGAACAATCCTCTAGTCGCGAAAATGAGCGGTACTCTTGTGTCTGGCTCTAGAGCTACAGTCATAGGGAGCGCAAAGTTGCCGATGCCATCGTTGTTCTGAAGTTGGGGCCCATTTACGCCCCTAGCCAATTGTTTTGCCATTGTATGCTGGTTCGGGTTGGGGGAAGTTAGTAGAGTTTTTAGGTTGGCCTTCGTCTTACCCCCC